GACGTCAGTAGGTAAGCTCCCCCCCCCCCCCACTTTTTTTTGTCACCTGCAGGTTTATTTAACCTAAAGTGACACTAAATTTAGGCGTTAAATCTTAAAAATACATTCAAGTACTGCTGAATGTACAGCTGTAGATCCTCAAATCTTCTCTAAATTCATGCTGACGCTGTCCTTCCTTCTGGAGGGTGGCTACTTTTGTTCCCCATGGTCCCTGTATGTGTTGTAAAGTAGCCACCACCCAAGCTTACTCCTGCGATTAACACAATCATGTGAGATTGTAGTCCATCATGGTAGCGAGCTTGGAGTGGTGGCTAATTTACAACACACACAGGGACCATGCGGAACAAAAGTAGCCACCCTCCAGAAGGAAGGACAGTGTCAGCACCAATTCATAGATTATTTGAGGATCTACAGCTAAGTGATACACAAATAAGATACATTTTTATTAATAGTAAAAGTACTTAAATGCATTTTTAAGATTTAACTCCTGTGTTTAGTGTCACTTTAACACTTTATTTAACTCTATGCTCAGCAACATGTTCTGATGCAATGTTGCACCTCTGAATGTGCTGCGCAAAAATGTAAATGTCCTAATTTATTTCAGCACACACCAGAGCAGCATGTTGATGTTAACTTAAGCAATAGGACAGAAGGCACATTACCTTGTCTATGCATTGGGCAACACTGGTGCTGCTGTGAACGAGCCCTACTGATGTATTAATAAATACAGAGATGTATTCATTTGTGTCTTCATATCTGCTTGGAGTTTAGCTTTGAATAAAACTTGGAAACAGAGCTGTTTCTGTCATCAGACAAGGTGACAGTTTTGTCTTAAGCAGCACCCCTTTCTGGTCAGCATAAGGATGTCCCTCCAGGCTCTGAGCACTTCTGCTCCTGTATAATAGACATGCCGAATTCACTTATAGCTGAGGTCAGGCATAAACATTCCGTATTCTTTGTGTTAGGCGGTCTCCCCGCAACTACTGTATTGAATGCTATGGCAGAACTCTGCAGAGCTTGACTCTTGTGAGGGAAACAGGGCCCTCATTTCCTGTCGCCACCCTAAGTGACAGCTGGGGTCATGGGGTCAGCTATGTGCAGCTGCTTCAACATAACGGTAAGGATTGTGCCAATTTCTCTTGAAGATTGGTATTCAATATAAAATATTTATAAAAATCCAACTCCATGCAATCCCTTAAAGGAAACCTGTATTGAGAGAAGTATGGGGGCTGCCATTGCGAACCAGTTTGTAAAAATGCAGGTTCTCTAGCAGTTTATGAGTTCAGTACTTTCTAAATCACTGGCCTGGAACAAACATGCAGATTAAATGTCATAGGAAAGTCAGGACTCCTGCTCTGCTTATTTGATCCATATTAGAGCCTCCATAAGCGCCGAAGCCCTTGGATCATCATCCAGACAGCTAGCATTTACAAAAAGAGAAGTCAGCAGTGGCAGCCTCCATTATTCTTTCAGTACATGTTTTCTTGAACCCACCCCACCTCAACTCCATCTTCCACAAGTATTTCTATTTAATGTGCTTTATTTTATGGTTCCCCAAAGTAGTTAATATTGACCCCCAAGGGTCGATAAGACTATCCAAGGGATCCGTAAAATGGCTATAAATTCAAAAGGGGGTCAGTAAATGACTGGGGGTGAACAGGTGGTTGATAAATAGATTAGGTGGTTGAAACTTCATGAGGCTGTTTATGTCCTAAAGAGTTTCAGACCCCTGATTTAGGGCCTGTATCAGAACTGTTTTTCTCCCTAAAAAAACTCAATAGGGGAAATAAAAAAGCAGCTCAAAGCAGGTCAGTAGGAGTGCAGGCAGAATGCACCTGAAAGCAGCTGATGTCTACTAATGCTGAAATGTTTATTTTTATGTCAGCAGGAGAGGGTTGAAATGAATTGTTTAATGGAGAGGAGATATAGCTAACATGGGATCAAGACATGCCTGCTTTATTTGACATTTAGATGCAGTGCTGCACATATTGTGAACAAAAAAAGCTACATTTTTTGCTGCTTTGTGGGATCCCTATTCCTCTGACAGTCAGGCATACGTAGTAAACATTATATATTGCCAAACGTATTGGGACACCCCTCCAAATCATTGGATTCAGGTGTTCCAATCACCTCCATGGCCACATGTGTATAAAATCAAGCACCTAGGCATGCAGACTGCGTCTACAAACATTTGAAAGAATGGGTCGCTCTCAGGAGCTCAGTGAATATTTTTCCTCTGCATGTCATTGCCATCTGTTAGTGGTAAAGATTGGCACAGACACAGCAGTGCCTCCATCTAGCTATGTGTCATAGAGCCCGGTATGCATAGACAACAAATTCAAGGTGTGTGTGATTAGAAGTTAAGCTTATTTCTATATTTTTTACCATCAGCATCAGAAATTGAGACTACATTATCTATAGATTATTTTTCAGAGAGCTATATAACCTGGTCACTAAAAAAAACATTGGTGATTTTGCTTTGAATAGAGTTCTTTTAATCTCTTTTGTTAACTCTTTTAAAATAACCCTTTCAGCAAAAATTGCATAACGTCAGTGTCATATAATCCAGCTACTTCACCCGCCCCTCCCCCCCGAAGAAAAAAGAAAATGATTGTCCTAACTTTGTTTTTCAAATTTTTGGATAAAGAAGAAAAGGTTAGAACTTCTGTCATTTATTTACGGTCAGTGCCCACTGAAAAGGTTTCCCCTCACTTCCTACCCTGGTGATGACAGGTAGTGAGGGGAATATACATTAGTAGAGATATCCCTATCTCTACTAAACCAAACCATTATTGCTGTTATATCTGCTTCTTGTTCAAAAGATTTTCACTGATTTTCCAGTCCAACAACCACACAAAAAGTAAGTGGTAATGTCCATAATGAATCAATGAGCTATCAAACCAAGGTTTCAATAAGTATCTGCTGTATCTGGGTACAGAGAAGTGCCAAGAGCCTGCTAGCCACTGCCAAAATACTGATTTCCTACTGCATTGACTCAAAGTATAAAAGACAGACAACTGGTGCTTTTAAAAGGACACCAGCGTTCACAGCCCCCAAAGCTGTACCTGTGACAAGTGTACTTTTTTTTCTTCTTTTTTTTTCTTTTATTAATTTGGAAGTATGGAACCTGCACTTTTGCCCCAAACCTTAACTCCAGTATCATTAGTGCTATAGTGCTAATACCTATTATCAACTGAATTATTATGCCAATATTTCTGACCACCAAAATATAACCAGCTACAAGCCAGACACAAAGACTTTTGCTCCAGATACAACTGTCATGTATCAAAGATACTCCTGTGTGAAGAAAGCACAAGGATAATCTGCCAACATGCTGGTTGCTGGATGCTCCTCCTGTGCACGAGTGCTAATGAAAGTTTTATATATTATAGACTGATAAATATGTACATACTTTTACATTCATGGAGCAGAGTGTTGCGAGTAAACAAAAACGTATCTAAATTTGCATATATAAATGTTTTTAATATAAGTGGGTCAATATTCAGTTTTCCTACTATTTTATGTAAAGGGAGTACGTTTTATGTCTGAAAACAGTTGAGATTTTTCTTTTGGTTGTGTTAATATTCATAGACAATTTACTTTTACCTTGATGGGTAATATGTGTTCATGCTGGAACTATGAATATCATTTTCTTCAACTTACATGATGCCTGTGGTGATGAGCCTTTGGGTTCTCTTAATAAAAAAAACAATAAGTTGCACAAATAGGGGTATGTTTTTATCTAGATGGATTCATGACTGATGAATATTGCTTTCCTTGGAATTATATAATGTATGTATGTGCATGCAAACTTGACCTGGTAAAGTTTATTTTCTCAAATTACAAGGAAATCTTCAATTTAATCTTCATATTTTAATGATTCATTGTAAATAAGCGTTATGAATCCAGATCATTATTAGTTTTTGGCTATTTTTCTGTTGCTCTAAAGTTAATTATTCCCCCTCACCTTCCCCAAGGCAGCAGGTCCTTTACAAGAATACGCACAGAAGGGTGGCATGCCTTTGAAACCCATTCTAGGGTGAACTCAGATTCTTCTTTC